CACATAAACAATTATCTCCTGAATATTTTGATGAAGAATAACAAATATCCTGTGAAAAAATACGTACACATAAATGTGAAATATTAATGATCTCACCTGTTAACATGAATGAGCACAGCAAATCGACACCTCCGATTTACTTCTCTATCTAGACTGCTGAAAGTTATATCTAAGCTACCCGAGAATGTAGGGTCACTTGCTCGCCTGAAAACGCTCATGCTCAATACGCAGGAACCCTCAAGTTGTCGTTCATGACTTTGTCGTGGCACTGAGTTCAGGCGTGAGGTGTCATACCTGCTCATCTATTTTAGACAACTTTGGATTGAAAGTTTACTCATTCAATATTCCATAATGATCTTAGAATTTATATAAGAATAAGAGAAATGAATGATTCGAGACTATTAGGAGACTATTGGACCTTGACCATTCAGAAAGAATAATTATTATGTTCAGACCATTTTACTCCAGATAGTTTTCTGATGTTTCCCGGCAAATCCAGGACATGCGAATCCACTGTTTTTTCACTGAAGTTCTCAAATCTGAGTATTTGTAATCTATGAACTGATTACGGCATATTTCATTCGTTTCTCAATACCTCATGTATGACTCCTCCCAACCTTTTTCCTTCGATACGCCTATGTTCCTCGGATTCATGACAGTAACATGGCAGATCGTAAATGCGCATGGATCAGATTTACCAGTTCGATCTCCTAAGTGGCTCACCTTTTTCCTTATAAAATTGGGAGTCTAGATTAGTCTATAAGTTGGTGATCTACACCATGTCCAATCGTTAACTGGAACAATCAAGCATAATTGACTTCATGAGGCTCTAGTTGCAGGGCAACAGGAGTTTGTAGAACCATCAGCCCAAAGATCTCAAGTTTCTGAATACATCATACCTGAAAGAAATGACATTATTTCTAGCTTTGCATAGGACCTGTTCACCTTCCACCATCGGCCGATTTCCAAAAGCACTCTAATTGCTGAAATTTTGAAATGAAAAAAAATCATCACCATTGAATCAAATGGAAGCTCTAATTGTTCTTCCCATTGCACAGACAGCTTTGAAGTTCTTGCTATAAAAAACAAATTCGCGAAGAATATAATTTTCAGAGGCATCGGTGAAAAACTTCAACAAGTCACCTCAAATGAATTTCGACTTTTGACGAAACAACAAATAACATAACCTGTGAAATTCACCTACCGTCGAGATTCGTCTTCCATTTTGACTCGTGAATTTGACAAATCCCGCGCCTGCCCAATTATCTGTTCTTACCCGCAGACTGTCATTTGTTCTCTGAAAACTCACTTTTGATCATGGAAACAATAGGATGTTATCCGTATATGTTCAATAAGTATATGAGAATGATGGGTAGAAAGGAACAAGAAGGATAACCTGAAACCATATACTTACCTACTAAACATATACGGATAACATCATATTGTTTGCGTGCTCAGAAGTGAGCCAAGTTTTGAAAAACACAAATGGAAGTTTGCGGGTGAAAACAGATATTTGCGCTGTCGCGGGTTTCATGAAATCAAAATCACGAGTCGAAATGAAGGACGATTTGAGAGTTGTTGTTGTTGAAGCTTCTTACCGATGCCTCCGAAGATTATATATTCCTTCGCCAATGTTGTGGAGCTCACCCCCAAGCTAGTGGTGAAAAAAGTCAGGCACACAAGCAATGTACGAAGTGAAGCCTACAACTATATCAGCTTTCACCATCGGAGGAAGACAAAGATTGAAAAAACTGTTCCATTTTCCTACAATATCAGTCATGCTGTGTTGATGAAAAAGGTAATTTAGAATGATTGGTAAATTGTGAGTCTGATTGTGAAATAATTTTCAACTTCCGTAAATGACTGATGCTCTTCGCTTTCCAGATAACAAATCAACTGGCCTACTCTCATTTCTACAGGAAAGCAGTAAGAATATTTGAAAATATACCATTACTGTCAATCGCACAGGTACATAGTGTATTGGTTATTGTCTTCAGATGGAGAATGATGTAAATATTTCATAATCATTTTATTCTCATTCCTTGCATAGAATAACAAGATTTGAATCATTCAGTGTTAATCATATTTTAGTTTATATGTTGAAATCGAAATTGGAAAAAAATACAAAAATACAAATTCATAGATATTTTCATTATCCTTCAAATTACATTCAGATAGTTGACGATATTTGTTCAAGAATGTCATAAGATTGATAATTATTGAAGGATAACACATAAGATTGGCTCATTTTTAGATGACGCAAGCGCTCATACAGTTTTGCTCGCAGGCTGTCGTTAATTTTATTTTTTATGCTCCACTTGGATATCCTTGTTATCTATATACAGTGTGACCCACTTCTAATGGAAATTTTCCTGTATCTTATGTAATCGTTGGGTAAGGATCCTGAAATTTGCTGGAGCGAGAGATATACAAAAACTGTACTCTATGACCAAGTGGGGTCATCTTCAGTGATATACACTGCTCGTCAACAGCCATGGAACCACCCCAATTTCCAGAAAATCATATTAGGAGTCAAAAGAGATCAAAATCCACTTCAGATTCGGAATCAGGAAGCCCAATTCACTAACAATTTATATTTTTTCTGTGAAATTTTCAGTTCTGAACAATTAAATTCTGTCGCACTTTTTACGGAAGCACCCCCGTATCTTACGTGATTGACTTCATCTTTGGACTCTCCTTTCCTCATGCAAATTTCAGAACCCTACCTCAATAATTACGTGAGATACGGGGGTGCTTCCATGAGAAGTGAGACAAAATTTGATTTTTCTGAACTGAAAATTTTCTAGGAAAACTATGAATAGTTAGAGAATTGGGCGTCCTGATTCCGAATCCGAAGTGATTTTCAACCTATTTTGACTCCTAATATCATTTTCCGGAAATTGGGGTGGTTCCATGGCTGTTGGTGAGCAGTGTATATCACCGAAGATAACCTCACTTGGTCATAGAGTGCATTTTTGGAATATCTCTCGCTACAGCAATTTTCAGGATACTTACCCAACGATTACGTGAGATACAGGGGTGTTTCCATTAGAAGTGGGTCACACTGTAGATAGGTTTGTTAGGTATATGCCTGAAACCGAAACAAACTGGCAGTGACTATAAGGAACCATGATCGAGTCGACCTCGCAGACGCTATAAAGATTGAGTTGAAAGTCAACAATTAGGAATAATTGGAATTGTAACGTTCGGAATTTCATTCATCCCAAAAACCCACACTGAGACAACATTTAGTTTTCAATGAGAAATTATATTCATCGTTAAAAATGACATTAGTGTCGAAATTTTTTTTAACGCTTGGAGTGCACGTAAAGAAATCCCTATAATGTTCAAAGAACATCGTGCGTTCCTAGGGAGGATAAGGACAGGAGGTAGGTATTGAAATTTTTTTTGAACTTCTGGAGAGTATATGTTGTTGGGAATTATTCCTCAGGCAATGAATTCCAGAGCCTAGCCGTTCTATGGATGAAGGAGTTTTGATAAAGCCTAACTTATATAACGAAGCGAATATACAGTTCAATATCAAGTACCTAATGATAATCTTGATCTCATGAAACATTATTTGAATGTCAACAAATATCACTTTATGGACACTATACAGCATTTTGCATTAAAATAGATTTGTTCATAATTATGCAACGTTACCTTAAATTCCCTCACCGATTTCCTAATGCAATCGACGGTCACTTATATGTAAAGTTATCTATATCAAAGTTCAATTCACTGCGGACAAATTTTGTTTTTTTCACTGTTGTACAAAAAGGAGAAATGTTTTCAGTCAAGAAGCATAACTTATGGCATGAAGAATTATTTTGTTATTGAAGATTATTGCTTTGTGAACATAGTCAATTATCGATTCATTCATCAATCTTGCCCACCATTTGAAACATCCAACCTAGAAGAAAGTTTGAACTATTATTGAGTCTACTTTCTACTTCAACTGTCCAGAATGATATGGAGAATCGTCGTCAGTGAGTTGGAAATAATCCTTACAATTCTTCTTCTTGGGTCAATTTGTAATATATGTTAGGCTGAAACATGAAAGAATATAGCTAGGCTTCAGAGATGACACATTGACAATTATCAAAATTGAATTTTCGAGACAATTTTTTGGACGGTTTGGATGGTTCCAATTGTTTACTATTTATCCCAACAAAAAGAATAAGGAATCTCTGAAAACAAATTCATTCAAGCAAAAGTTCACAGTATACTTATGTCACATATATCATGATATCAAAACATCTGAATTGAAAGAGTTAAAGCCAGACCAGCGATGAAGGTGTATCGAGCATCCACTATATTGATATGAATTATCTGTAACATGAAAATGAACGAGTGTTCCATAGAGAGAATATCAGGATCTTGTCCCATTTAATGATCAGTAAGGTATTTTTTTCATCCCTTGGAACGCACGAAAGATTGAGATTGCATTTACTCATTCAGAATAATTACAAAGTATAGGAAAATATTGAACTGTTAGGTTTTCCATGGTCAACAATGTTCATTAGGTTGAAGAGTCGTGATTTTCCATCTGATGCATGCATCACTTTCGAAGCACTTGGACGTATTAAAATGAATGACATACAATTATTTTGGTATATGTTTATGGATATATCAACAGTTGACGAATACTGATTAACAACGATCAAACATATGCATGTTAATAACTATTCAACAATATTCGTGCTCGAGTGTTTGAACGAGTAAACATCGCTTATATTACATACATATAACATACATACAACATATCTCTTCATATACCCCACGACCCCGTTGAAGATGCTATAAAGAGCCTTGGTTTACAGATGACCTCCCCGGTCTTGTTTTTGAGAGCTGGTATCCCAGGCGATGAATATTCCCATATATTGAGTTTCAGACGACAAGTCTAAGTTCTTCCCACATCAGACAACTTTGAATTGCAGACTTCTCTAACTATTCCATTCGACGGGAACGAAAACATAATCTTTTCATCTACAGACAAAATGGAGTGCTTCATTTGCAAGCAATCTGGCCACATTGCCTCGAATTGCCCAAACCCTCCAACTAATATTTTACCGTCACAAACCACCCCTCCCGTACAACCTGAACAGGCATCTCCAAGTACGAACTCCACAAATAGAATAGAGAGCAATGATACGACTTCGAATGTGGACCCGATTACACCACAAGAAAACCCGCCTCTTGCAGATATGACACCATCCCAAAAACACGGTTATTCCCAGCTTTCAACTCCAAGTGAAACCTCAAGTTTACCTGTAGACACAGAAGAGATCAAGGACGCTATGCCTCCCCCCGCATCCTCTACACTTCCGACAGCAGTTAATAAAGCAACAAAGAAGAAGCGCAAGATAGGTGAAGCTACTGAATCAAATCTCACAACATACATGAAAGTATGCATAGCGAAATCCTATCAGAAAACACCTGATGCATTCATACTTCCAATTGAAAATCTTTATGACTTCTTAGAAAATACTTTTGGTAGCTCAGATCCGTTTCTGGAAGCCAGTGAACACACTGATGACCTAATTGGCCTAGTCTCAAACCTGAATCTCATTTACCCCGACCTCACAGATAGATCCTAAAAAAACAGATTAACCAGCATTAATAACAAGATGAAGAAGAAACTCAAATCCGACGCTGGAGATACTGAAAGTCTGGATATATCTAATGAGCCTACTACTGCGACGGTTTCTATCCTCGTCTGGAGCGATTACAGCAATTCATCTCAGACACCTCACCAAACTTCATATGTTTACAAGAAACTAATTTCACCAAGTACAACAACCCACGCTTAAAAAACTTTGTTGGCTATCACTTCATCAGAACTACTCATGCGCGTGCCAGTGGCGGATCCTCAGTATTTGTCTCCAGTGATATCTTTCACCAAGAACTACCCTTAGACACAAGCTTAGAAGCAGTTGCCATCACAGCGTGGTGCCCCAATAAAATTGTTATCTGCAGTGTATACATCCCTCCAAACTATACTGTTGGAGACACAGAAATAACGGACCTCATAAAACAACTCCCTACACCTTTTATCTTAGTAGGTGACTTAAATGCTCACAACACAATGTGGGGATCAGAAAGTACGTTTGACCGTGGCAAAACGATTGAAAATGTGATCAACAATTATAACATCGACCTGTTAAACACTGGCAGCAGTACATATTTCCATGTACAATCCGGGTCTTTTTCAGCAATAGACCTCAGCATTTCAGATCCAGGAACAGCACCCTTACTATCATGGCACACCCTTGACAGCCTCTATGATAGTAACCACTTTTCCATCCTAATATTAGACAACATACCAAAACAAGTTGACATTAAAGACAAGTGGAAAATCACAAATGAAAATTGAGAACGCTATAAAAGGAAACACAGAAAATATCATATATTCGAACAACATAGATGAAGCTACTGTCTGAATGACTAACGCCATAATTTCCACAGCCAATATATCTATAGGGAAGTACATCATATCCCCCTCTAAACGCATCGTCCCCTGGTGGAATAAATCCTGCAGCACGGCAGTGAAGAAGAGCAAAAAGGCGCTCAACAAATACCGAAGAACCAGAAATAAGTAAGACTTGATGATCCTTGAAAAAATGAGAGCAAAATAAAAAAGAGTTCTGAAACAATGTAAACGAGAGTCGTGGAATGAATTTTCAAGCACAATAACCTCTGAAACTTCCCCTTCACTAATCTGGACCAAGATAAAACAGATGAAAGGAAAAAACACCAACTATAAAATTCGTGGCCTAACCCACAAGGGTCAAGTCATTACCAATGACCATCAAATTGCAAACATTCTTGCCCAACACTTTAAAAACAAAACAAAATCTGATCCTGAACCTCCAAGCCCAATAAATAATCCACAACCTAAACAAACTCCTCACAGTTGCCACTCTCTCAATGTCCCTTTCACTATTCACGAATTGAATTTTGTCCTACTCTCTCTGAAGAACACAGCTGCAGGACCCGACGATATACCAATGATCTTTCTAAAATATCTACAGTTAGGAACAAAAATCAAACTGCTTGAACTCTACAACAAAATTTGGTGCAGTCAGCAATTTCTGGCTCTGTGGAGAGAATCAACTATCGTACCAATCAAAAAGAATGACTCAAATATCAATCTTCCTAATTCTTTCAGGCCAATATCTCTAACATGCATAATGTGCAAAATTCTCGAGAAAATGGTCAATATAGACGCTTACACTGGCACTTAGAATTGCATAACCACTTGATTAGAGCTCAGGCAGGCTTTCGTTCAAACAGAAGCACATTGGATAACCTGGTTACTCTACACTCAGATATCTCACAGGTTATTGCAAGTGAGAATGACATAATCGCCGTGAGTCTCGATATTGATTGCGCATTCGACACGATTGAAAAAACTACAATCTACGAAAAACTCATAGACTTTAACCTAACTGGAAACATTCTTTCTTTTTTACAAAACTTCTTAACTAACAGAACTTTCAAAGTTATTGCAAATGGGCAGTCATCCATCCAACACTTTCCAGAAAATGGAGTATCACAAGGCTCGGTACTTAGCACCACCTTATTCCTGATGACTATCAATGACATATGCTCCTCAATACTTCCACCTGTAAAATATGCACTATACGCCGACGACCTCATCCTCTACTGCCAAGGCAAAGTTACGGCCAGTACCTGCACCTTGCTTCAGAAGGCTCTAGATAGCATTCACAATTGGTCTCTCAAATCTGGTTTCAACTTTTCAACAATCAAATCCAAAGGAGTCCTGGTCAGCAGGAGACTCAATCCTTTTCCACCACAACTAGTTCTCAATGGACACCAGCTACAGGTGGTTGATCAACATAGATTCTTGGGAGTAATCTTCGATAAAAGATTCACATGAAGACACCATATTCAGGAGAGGAAAGGTAACTGTTTAAAACGAGTCAATATTTTGAAATCCTTGGCACATCACCAATGGGGAGCAGAAGAAGAAATATTAATTAGAACTTCACACAATCCAAACCACAGCATTACGAATATGTCTAGGTGTATTTAGATCCAGTCCGGCAGAAAGTATCTATATTGAATCTTCTGAACCACCTCTTTCCATACGTCGAGAATACCTACTGCTCTCCTACTTCTCTATGATATCTGCCCACCCCCAAAACCCAGTATTCGAATTAATTGATTTCATACAACCAGCTCTTGACAACAGACCGAGAACGCCGCTCTCATCTCCACAATTATAATACCCTATCACAAGAAACATCAACCTCACAGTCACAACCCCCATACAACTTCCGAAAACTCCTCCATGGACCAAAAATCCGCCGCTACTGAACACGTCCCAAAGCAACTACAACAAGTGCGATACGCCTAACATAGTCTTTTCACAAGAATTCAGAGAACTTATTAACAATAAGCAGTTCGACAAAATCCTCTACACTGACGCCTCCAAAGAAATTAACGGTACTGGATGTGCTGTTACTACAATAGATACAACAATAGTAACTCATAAACTTCCCGACTTATGTTGTATACACACAGCCGAACTTTACAGAATACTACAAGCTTTGAGGACCCCAGTATAGGATAACAGTAAACTTGCCATATGTACAGACTCCCTATCATCGATACAATCCATCAAGAACATCTACTCACAACATCCCTTAGTTCAAGATATCCTCGATACCTGCCACCACCATCGTAATAGAGGTATCTACGTAAACATCATATGGATCCCTTCCCACATAGGAATTTCTGCCAACGAACGTGCAGACCAAGCAGCGAAACATACCTGTTCCTCCGACATGCCTGTAGAGCAAATTCAACTCTATCAAGACGTAAAATCAGCAGTTCGGCAAAAGATTATGCAAACATGGCAAACACTCTGGAATACAAGCAACACAAAACTACGTACAATTCAACCCACAGTTTCCGTGCAGAAGATGCCTCCAATGACAAGAAAAGAGAGGAGTGTTTTGAGAAGACTCAGAATAGGTCACTCCTAGCTCACCCATGGTTACCTGATGTCTTCACAGAATCCCCCTACATGTGAATTCTGTCCCAGCGTAAGACTCACCATCGAGCACATACTTTTGGATTGTACACACTACAGCCCGACTCGCCGCAAACATGAACTCAGTGGAACCCTAAAAGACATCATTGGTGAGCCTTACCAGTTCAAAATTGTTATCCAATTTCTCAAAGACTGTCGACTCTTCAATTTAATTCGATTTTCATAATGTAATATCATAGTTTTCGTGTCAGTGGCCATTAGATACCGAGACACGTTAATTTTAATAAAAAAAAAACAATATTGGTTGCTATCTAATGAATTTCCTATTCGATTCCAATTTTTCGTAGATATTTTTTATTATATGAATATACCCTTCATTATTTTGGGGGTCTCCATCAGCGGCATCACCTCTCAAAATAAATTTATATTGAAATATCTGAATCACCTTGTATAATCTGTCGAAATTCGAGTGATTTTGTTAACAAATTGATACGCCTCCTGAACGTTTTCATCATAGCGTGTACACGTCGTGATTCCAATTATCAATATTAGTTTGTCACCGTTTCTCGATACAACTTAATGCAATGCCAATACATTCCTTTTATTTGTTTGATTTATCTCAAAGCGTGTACACGCTAGATTCTAAAATCAATATATTTGATAATTCTGATCAGTTAGATAGTTGGTGCGATTTCCATCTTGCTCATAAACAGAATTGATTGAGCATAATTGAGATGTTTCGAAAAAATAGCGTGTACACGTCAGTATGGGAATGAATGTTAAATATTTGTATTTTTATGATATAAGTAGCTCTATTCGTGATTGGGGTTTTCGAAAAATGGATTCTTTTTTATGATAACCAACTAGATTCATCCATTTTCAATAAATTTCTTACATTACGGTGATAGTTTTTGTTTACTAAAAATTATTGGACTCACTCTACCAACACAACAGCCTAATAAATCCTCATGGTACCAACCAATCTCGTTTTTTATCGATGATTTTCGACATCGTGTCTGATCAAGATTGCTTCGAGAGACATTTTGTGTAAAAGGCAAGAGATTGAAGATAACCTCACCAAACAGACGTATATGAACCACTTAACCTTATGTGCCTTGGCTCACTCAGAATATTGAAGAGATTCAAACTAAGACACAAAGTGATTATTCCTGACATTTTAATAAGAATAATGAATATATTACCTCCTCGATTGATCAACGGACAATATTCAAGAGACGGAGCTCTGAAAACAAATGAACTTTCTAAAACTCATATTGATTCGATAAGTTTGAAAGAACTCCATACACTGAGAAAAACTGGTTAATTAAAACGTCTAGTTGGTATTTTTTTAGTACCGATAATTAAAAATATTTGGAATTTTATTAACATTGACAACGTATCCTTATTTCCTACAAATCACTATTCTATTTTTCGCCAATTATTTGTCATCAATAAAAATACTATTTGTGACAGAATTATCACAGTGTTGTCTATTCGGTCAATTAAAATTTCATATTGGGGTTAAAAAACCTCATTCTGGGGTTACTAACAACAGCTGACTATTTGCCACAACTGATG